AATAAAAAAATAAGAGCTCTTACAACTTGTTTTGCTGTTTGTCCTTGGACTACCCTACTACAGCACCAGGTGCTCTTCGTTGGGTGCCTTTGCATAGGTCACAATACTGCAGAAGGGATATTCTGGCTTTTCTCTTCTTCTTGGCTAGTTTCAGTTGCTGCTGTGGCCAGGGTGGTTGCGCAGTTTTTGGTGCATCTTGCAGTTTCTTGTTTGCGCAGGGCAATCCTCCATTACCTCATCAATCTGTTTGCCTGCACACACAGGTTGTGGACGGATGGCACGCCTGCTGGCTTGAGCGTTATTTATTTTGCCATCTCTCCGGTGTGGCCATCCTGCAGGCTGCAGATGCGTGCGCAAATACCGGCTGGTCACCAGTGTCAGTGGCGTTGAACTTGTGTGCTTCGCTGCAGCGCTGGTCGTCTCGGGCGGCATCCCGAGCCTGGCGCTGGCCTGCAGGTCGGTCACCTCCGCCGCAGTTTGACAGGTGGGAAGCACGTGCCGGGCAGAGGAAAGGTGCGTGGCTGAGCCCGGCAGCAGCTCTGAAGAGTGGGAACACGGTGGAAAACTGTTTGCAGCTCTTGGGTGTTTGACACCTGGAGGTGGGGACAGCCCCCGGCTCAGAGATTGATGGTAGTGAGGGATGATGGAGCATGGTGTGTGGGTGGCTGCTGCCACCAGGCTGGAAAAGACAGTGTAAATTGGAGTGAAATCTGGAGCGGGGGCGAAGTGACGTGGGGAAAGGCAGGCGAATCGAGTCCTCTGGTTCCCCAGCACCAGGGAAATCAAGTCCCGTGGTTCCTCAGTGCCCGGTGGGCGAGGGGAGCTGGATGGAGCCCTGGCCGGGCAGCGCTGGCCCTACCAACCTCTCGAGTCTGCACCCACAGTTTCTGGGCTTGATGGCTTGGGGCGAAGAGGCCGCAGTCCGGCCGCTGCTGCCAGGCAGCCCGGCTTGAACCAACTTGCCCGCTCCAGCCATTGGCACGTGCACGGGCAGAGCCCGGTCCCCTGCCCGCAGCGGCGCGTTGGCTGCCGTCGGTAGGGATCACACCGCGGGGCGATGCTCAGCCCTGTCCGCGGGGGTGGCGGGTGCCCGGGGACAAGGGCGCAGGAGCACAGGGATGGGCACCAGCTGTGCTGGGCAGCTGTGCCGGCGGCACCGGGGTTGTCAGCGCTTGATTTGATGCCGCTTTTAATTCTGTCATGATAAGGTTTGCTTGATTTTTTTTTTCCTTAAAGTAAATAATTACATGAGCTTTGCAAACATTAATAAGTAAATAAAGTAAAAATGATTGCTCGGTGGTCAGCTCTGCAGGTCGTGTCTCCACAGTCTCTGCTCTGTGACCCTTCTCACTTGAAATGCTTTGCTTTGAGCCCAATAGCCAGCGCTGGCCGCGGGCTTTCAGGGGGCATCTTGTCCATGCCCCCCATCTTGTGGGTGTCAGGGCCCTAAACCAGCCCTTGCTCTCCTGCTTGCTTCTGCTCAAAAAAGAGCCCAGGCTGCAGGCGAGAGGCTGGTCGAGACTTGCTGTGTACGAAGCCCCAGGTCAGGATAACGGCCAGGACAGTTAGAAAAGCAGCGATGGCAAGCTAAAAAAAAAAAAAAAAAAAATTTGTTGCTGCTTGCACCCCCCCTTGCCGGGCCACGCGGCCGTTCCCGAAA